GGAAGCGAGAGAGAGAGAAACATCTATGATGGCAGAGAACCATTGATCGGCTGCCTCCTGCACACCTCACACCAGGGATCAAGCCTGCAACACGGGCATGTGCCCTGAAGGGAATCGAACCAGGAACTCCTGGTTCATAGGTTGACGCTCAGCCACTGAGCCACCACTGGTTGGGCTATTTAATTTTAAATCTTTGCTTAAAGCTAAGTTTGGGGGTGATTTGTTCCACAGCAATAGAGAATACACTATAGTTTTCCAGAGTTGACACCCCCACCATGTAGAATGTGAAATGCAGAAACTGCCTACAAAGAGGATTCTGCTTAGATGCCACAGAAGATGAAGGAGTATCTTCCGGAGTTCCACTAACGTGCCTGTCTTATCCCAAACCCAACAATTTCAGAAACTTAAAGACAGTTGTGTTTAATGGATTTTTATTGACTGATTTTTAGAGAGAAAGAAACATCAATTTGTTGTTCCGCTTATTTATGCATTCATTGGTTGGTTCTTTTATAAAAATTTTTATTGATTTCAGAGAGGCAGGGAGAGGGGGAGAGAGATAGAAACATCAATTATGAGAGAATCATTTATTGGCTGCCTCCTGCACTCCCGCTACTGAGGATGGAGTCCGCAACCTGGGCATGTGCCCTGACCAGGAAATGAACTGTGACCTCCTGGTTCATAGGCTGATGCTCAACAACTGAGCCACGGTGCTAGGCCATTAGTTGATTCTTGTATGTGCCCTGACTGGGGATGGAACTGGAAACCTGGCACATCGAGTTGACACTCTAACCCAGTGGTCGGCAAACTCATTAGTCAACAGAGCCAATATCAACAGTACGACGATTGAAATTTCTTTTGAGAGCCACATTTTTTAAACGTAAACTATATAGTCTTTGTTTCACTGTGGTTGCAAATATCTAAAAATTTCTATATGTGACACGGCAGCAGAGTTAAGTTAGGGTTTTTCAAAATGATGACAAGCGAAGCTCTAAAGGTTCGCCATCACTGCTCTATATAATTACATATTGCTTTTGTGATGAATCACTAGGTTTTAATTATGTTCCATTTGTAACAATGAAATTGGGGGTCACCACAACATGAGGAACTGTATTAAAGGGTTGCGGCATTAGGAAGGTTGAGAACCACTGATTTAATAGAAGCAGGGTTTCAGCAATGGTAAACACATACATTGGGTTTCCCCAGTAGACCAGTCTGGAGCTTCCTACATCCTGCAGAGATAGGGAGAGATTTTTGGGTCAAATCCTAAAGGGTAGCCTCTGCTGTGGCCTCACACCCCTAGCCCCACTGCTCTCTTTTTCCTTTCTCCCCTGCTCCCTGGTTTAAGAAAAATCTGTAACACCTATGAGATCCCTAGGGGTATAATCTGGGCTAATACTGTTGACCACAGACCCTCACCCCCAGCAGAGCTAGTGTTCAACCCAGGATGATAGGTTAACCAGTTTTACAAACTGCATTTGCCCTATTTTTAGGCATGAGGAGAGGAGGAAATGATTAGGATTTTGCCATTTTTATTTTCTAGTTTAGGTATCTAGACTCTAGGGTTGATAACAATTGACCTCAGAGTTGTTTTATCCTGTTTCCATGGAAGATTCTAGAATTGCTGTCACCAAGAGGTTGTAGATTCTCTTAGTAAGTACTCCTTAAAGGTCTAAACTGTATTTCACTGAGTTCATTTAAACTCACTTCCAAGTATTTCCATCAGTAGAAATAGCCTCAGACTTTTTTGGTGTGAAGAGATTTGTGGCTCTACCAAGTTTTTAAAAAGCCATGTGTGCTAAGCATCCTTATTTGGCCCCTGGACACCCAAAACAAGTAACAAAAACAGAGAAATTTAAGAAAATAAAAGAAGCAATGAGTTAGCTTAGCTGGTTTGGCTCAGTGGATAGAGCAAAGGTCTGTGGACTGAAGGGTTTGATTCCCAGACAGGGCACAGGCCCGGGTTGTGGGCTTGATCCCCAGTGAGGGGTGTGCAGGAGGCAGCCGATCCATGACTCTCTCGCCTCATGGATGTTTCTCTCTCTCCCTCTCCCTTCCTCTCTGAAATCAATAAAAATGTTTTTTAAAAAGAAAGAAGCAATGAGTTAGATACGTAATTTGAAATACCTTTCATTCAATTTTTCTTTCCCATACAAAACTAACCCTCGAGTTGCAGGTCCCATGAAAACAACCAATCCACAAAATACTTCATGTCCAGATCAAGAAAGCAGCAACACTCGGTGTCAGTTGTGCAACTTTCTATTTTTTTATTAACCAAACTGCAGGTCTGTTTTTTTTTT